AATTTCATTTCCAATAAGAGTTTCCGAAGATGAAGACGATTGGTAGTTTTTTAGCTTCTAGAATTGACAAATAAAACTCTATGTAAATTACCCAGAATGATAGAGGGAAGAATTCTCTACAAAATGAAATGTCTTCCAGCTCTCTATGATGTTTTTTCAGCGAGATACATCAAACACACGGAAGTCACAAAAGTCGTTTTTTATCGTCATTTCGTATAAAAAAACGCAATATTTATGCCTTTCATATGGCTGATGTGTCTCGATGACAAAACATCACAGAGAGCTGCAAGATGTTTCATTTTGTAGAGAATCATTCTCTCTCTATCATTCTAGGTTATTTAGTCAGAATTTTGTTTGCTAATTTTGGGAGCTAAAAATCTATCGATCACTTTCATTTTCGAAAACTCATATTGGAAATGAAATTCTCTACTCAAATCACTGTTTGATTTCTTATTAACGTTTACGACAGTGAAGAAAAAGTTGAACAAGAACCGGATCGAATAATTTTGCGAGTCACTGTACATTAAAAGCTGATTATTTTTTTATACAGGAAAATCAAAAAATGAGTATATTATACTTAAGAAAAGCATGATTTAGTTTTCCTATGAAATAATAACTTACAGTCCACTGGTTAATATTTTTTGCCAAAGATGAAAAAGAAGTAATAGATTCGTTAGAAATGACTTTTTTATCTTGATTAACAATTTGTTCTATTGGTGTTAATCGTTCATTTTCTTTTCGTTGAAATGGTTCCGAACTTTCACGTATTATCCAATCACCAATTAGATGAGTTGTTATAGTGCCTTTTGATTTGTTTTCTAACATATTCTGTTCTTGATTATTTTTTATGATATTAATCGATGGTATTGGTGTTGATTTTACTGTTTGACAATGTTCAGTAGGACATACATTGAGTGGAATGAGTGTCGTTGTTACACGAGGAGTAGCTGAAATTTTGTATTCAAAAACAAAAAAAAAGAAAAATTAGAAAATGAACGATTCATTTTGATACTTACTAAATGATTTATATGATGGATACACAGGTGTATTCTAGAAGAACAAAAAAAAGTTAATATATAAGTTGATGACAAGGAAAAAAAGAGCATGTTAAAAAAGTATATTTCAACCTGTTGTTGTTGTTGTTGATTTATCGATGATGGTGTGATTACTATTGAAAAATTGAAGAAATTATTATTTTTTTCTTGCATTTGATTTTATAAAAGTATCTACGTGATGATAAAGCAGTATTAATCGAAGTAGGATTGGTATTAATCAGTGTTACCATGCGGTTTGGTGAAGTTACTTGAGTATTTGTCCATAAAGACGACACAGGAATAATCTTAATAATAGAAAATTTCAAAGTTCAATCTCATTTAGTAAAACATTCATTTCTATGTTTTACACTATCAGGAATTCAACCGCGAACTAGATAAACATTTGTGTAAAAAGCATCATTCAAATCTTGTTTTTTACAACATAATCAAACAAAAAACATTATCTTAACTCAGTTTTGCTGTTAAGATCTTTTATTAAATCAATGGCTTTATAGATCACTTGGAGAGGCCATTCATTTTGATCTTGAAAGTTCTATTGAATGATTCGATTCATTGAGATCTACTTGCAAGTATCGAACATTTTATGTTTATCGTCAGTCTTCATATCTTATACAAAATAAGATTTGTCGAACTTTATACTGTATTCTTTATATGAATACATAATATTAATTTACCTGATAATTATTGATTGGAATTGAAATTGATGGTGAACCTTTTGATAACGTATTCATACGACTTTTTAATCGACGCGTGAATTTGAAAGGTTTCTTAATGATAAAAAGAAGAGAGACAAACATTAGTAGAACGAAAATACCTATCATGAAATAGATTAATACCGTTGGTTTATTCTGTTTTAATATTAATGGTGATGACATAAGTAATGTAGGTGTAGTTGTACTATCAGAGGTTTTCATTTCCTTTTATTTTCTCTGAGTTTGTTCTTACGTATTTTGTTTGAATAGTAATAGACAACGGAGTAGTCTTGTATGTGTGTATGTATGTTGAGACGACTATTTTTTTCTCTTCTTCTCTACGATAGAGAAACGCGACGAGTGAGCGAAGAAATATTTTTTTTTTTGTATGCGCCTTTTTTTCTTTTGCTTCTTTCTTTTCTTTTCTCCGTTTGTTAATGGTCGTACAAGGGGTACGACGCTAAATGAAATAGTTTTTTTCTCCATTAATATCCAATCGGAACGGAAGAAAAGAGAAGAGAGAATAAGAAAAAAATGACCGTCTCCTTTTTTTCCTCATCGATTCAGTCAATCAAATATTAGATTGAATCCTCCACATAGGAGACATTTATTAAGATCATGACATCTATTGCATCTATCGTTCAATTATGACTAATAAACTTTTTTTCTTTCTGTTCTGTTATGTTTTGTTTCTATATACATATCCAAACTTGGTTTCTCTCTCATCTCATTACCGCCGAGCTCTTGACTCATAAAATCGAAAAATTTTGTAAATATGGTGTAATCAAGTATTGCTTAAGACAAATAATTGATATAACCTTGAATCTGACGTCAGGGACCTTTTGTTTTTCTCATAACTAAATTAAATGACATTATAATTGTTTTTTATCTAAAAATAGTATCTTGGTTTTTTTGGCGAATTTAAATTTCATTCAAGATTTCTTTTTATCTTTTGAAATCGTCGTTTTGTTTTTTTATTTTCTCTTGAATAAATAATAAAATGTTATCGTATACATTTGCATATCTATGTTTTGTAATATTTTGTTGAAAAGAAAAACGTATTTTCAAGTATCAAATTAGTTTTCGCTTGCAACTATCATTATCACTGTTTGTCTTTTTAGCATATAATTAGATTTCATCTTTTTTTTTTGTTTCTCGTCTATTTCTATATGCGTCTTTGTATTATATTTTGAAGTATGATATTTTGTAAAAACGAAACCTGAGAGAAAGAAAATAAAAATTGTTGTTGACGATGAATATAAGAATTTTTTTTCATTACGCTGACATATTATTTTATTGAATGAGATTTGTTTCTCTCCGTACTTGTGTCAAGGTCATAATAATCATAATGTTGACAACGAGAAGAGAAAAAAACAACAAGAGTGCATATAGCCTATTAGTAGCTTTTAATGAGGAAAATAAGAAATATTTTCTTTCAGGCATGAGTGAATCGAATGGTTTCTATTTACACTATTTAAATTGTTATATTTTATAATGATTATTGAATCTTCGACTATTTTTTTGCGAACATTAAAAAACATTAGAAAATATTTTATAGATATATGGGTCAGTATTATTCATAATATTGAATAGAAAGCAAAATTACGTTTGAAGAAAAAAAAAACCCTGATGTAAACGTGGCAATGACACGTCAGTATTAATGCTCATCACTAGCAACCTTCTTTCATATTCTATGATTGAAAGGTGAGGCAAAATTATGACGAAAAATTATGAAATACTTTGATAGAAGTATATATGTTTGTTCTAGTCTAGTGCTCTTTTTCTCTTTTTTTCTATATTTGGTAAAAATGAAAAAACAAATAGAGGTTCTTTTATATATAAGCGCCATTTTTATTATTCGCCGGGGTCAGTCATTATGCATCATTATTACAATTTGTGAGGGGTAAAAGAAAAAAACAAGATTCATCTACTTTTTTTATTTCTATTAAGTTTATGTACATTGACGCCATGAGCTTATCAAGCCGCCATTTTTTTATGTCTTTCTCTTGTTTTTTTTGATTCAGCATGATGTCATACAGAAAGGAAAGAAAAAGAAAAACAACAGGGAAAAAATGAGCGGTAAATATATGCTATATAAAGGGGACTCCGACACTGTAACTATGGTCTCTCATTTGCTCTCACCCGCGATAGAGAACAGAACCCAAACGACGCACAATTATCCGCTGAAGTACTTGCTATCATGAACAAATATTTGCAACACATCTATACATAATTTTTTATATGAGAGTCGATCTGCCTACGGTTATTATTCCTACAAATTAAATTCTGAGTATTAGGTATTATGGTATTTTTCGTAAGATATTGTTTTATTTCTATAACGAGCTATTTTTAATAATTTATTTATGTAATTTATGGATTGCATGGTTACCAGTTTGCTCTAGAAAAAAAATTCTTAAGTTTTTTCTAGCAATGACATTCAAATGCCATTACTGTCAACATTCTTCTCTTTTACAAAAAAATCCGATACTTTTCTTTCTTTTAGACGTCATAAAAAAAAAAGGAGTTTTGATATTGCTTTTCTCTATTTCAAATCTTCTTTTCTTTTTCTTTTTTGTTTTTGGTAGTTTGTTGTTTTTTCGGAGTCAAAAGAAACAAGCGTACATCAGGCAACCTACTTTTTTTTCTTCTTATTTACTGACGGTTCTTTTTTTCTTTTTTTTTTCTATACGAAATGAAAACAAAATGAAATCATTTTCTTTTTGTTTTTCTATTTTTTTTTAATTTTGGATGCTTTTTACCATTTAAGGCAAGAGTAATATGAATACCATTTTCAACTTCTTGAAAAGAAAAATAATCGTATGCTATTCTATTGTATTTCAGATTACAAAAACAAGAAAGCAAAAAAGATTATAAATTATGTCTTTCTTATAGTCGTCATAGTCGACTAACGAAATCCTATTTGTACGAGTCGGAATAAGGATTGAGTTGGTTAACAAACATATATGTGTGTATAAGAGGGCATCTATTAAAAACAAAATACTGTCAGCGATTTCGACTGCTACTACAATTTTGTAATCATCATTAAAGACATCAACAACAACAACAACTACAGCAATAGTGAAGGGTATACATCGAACGGCAAAGTGACAAAAAAAGTGTCTAGCAAAAAGGAAGAAAGAAAAAGAAAAAAAAAATCGTGTTTTATATATTCTCGTCATCGATTCGGGTATGTTTCATAGTGGAGAGGAGCACAATCGTACTGTCGACTCCTTTAACGAATTAGAGCATTTATATGAATCAGCAGCAACAAATGAAACAACATATTCAACAAATACATTTGAATTTGATCAAATCATCCCAAATGATTTTGAATCGTTCGAACTCAACATCAACTGTGATTCTGGACGAAGCGATTTATGGGGATCAAATTCATCCACCTGTCCCACTGTCAGCGAACCTCAGTACACCACTACGTTCAGCCCTGAAGACAAGTGGCCTATTTAACAAAGGTAATTCATTTATTAAAATAAAACAACGTCATAATGAGTTTTTTTTTTCAAATTCAATAGATTGGGAATCATCTGACGCATTGAATGAGCTTTCTGCAAATGGTAATCAATTTACACTTCATCGGCTTCTAAGTGACATTGGTGTTAATGATTTGAATTTTGACATGAATGAAATGGCTAAATTTGATCCAATGAAATTTTTTGATGTTAAAAATATTAGCGAATTTGTAAGTGGGAAAAAACGATTTTATTCTTTTTCTTCCTTTCCTTGATGGAATTTCGAAATTACTTTATCAGAGAAAGATAAGATAGCTGATCTAAACAATGGACTCTTTTTTCTATTTATAGTTACAATGTGATTCATCCGATCAAATGAATATGTCAGACGATATTGATTCAAATTATATTGATAGTATATTACCATCTGCAACAGCTTGTTCATCAGGATCATTTTCAGAATTTCATCCACCAACACCAGAACAACCACGAAATGAAGTATTCCATATAGAAACAAATCAATTAAAAATAGAACCAGATAATTTATTAGTTTATACTGAATTAAATTCATTTGATAATTTCGTATCTACACCATCAACAACATCAGCTCCTATTGCACAAGAATTCAATTTTGATCCAAGTGTTTTAGCTGCTTTTGAACATGATTATGGATATTTACCTAAACGAACAACAGTTTTTGATACACCATCACCATCACCAACAATTTCTAAACGAACACCAACACGTGGACCACGTCGTACATCATCTCGACTTCAATCACGTGCTACATTAATTGATTTCAATCAAATATTAAATGAAAATACATGTTCATCACCAACAATGTCTGACTGTAGTTCCATATCATTAAAAAGGACTAGACAACCACGTCATATTCATCGTGCTACAGATATTAAAACAGAAGATGACTTATCATATTATTTAGAAAGACGTCGAAAAAATAATGAAGCATCAAAAATATCTCGTGCAACACGAAAACAGAAATTTGGTGATATGGATTTTCGATGGTAAAAAAAAAATGAAAAGAAAATTTTGTTGATTTATTGATAATTTTCTTTTTTGTTTTTATTTTAGTGCTGAATATGAACGTGTTAATGTTGAACTTCGTATGAAGATTTCAACACTCGAAACTGTTACGGCCAATTTAAAAAATGGTCTTATCCGTAATTTTCAACGTAAAGGTGGTGTTGAACCAAAATCCTAATCATTGATGTATGCATATATATGTACGTGTGTGCGCTTTCTTTGTTTGCTCTATGGATTTTTCATTCATATTTGTCAAATATTTAATCATATTTTTCTAAATTTTCAATGAGCATCCTTTCACTTTCTTTCCCGAGTGATTGCTTTTTCTCTATTTCTGTTTAGTCGAGAGAAAAGAAAAGTGCGTTCTGATAGTATGCAATATATATATATATATATATAGGTTTTTTCTAATTTACTATCAGTTCGTGAAGCCTGCGCATACATATGTATGTTTTATTTTACCTTTCGGTGAAAAAAAAAGAATTAAGAGTAAAAGTAAAAAAAAAAGACAAAAGTAGAAAAGTAGACAAAAAAAACGCAGTTTTTTGTTTCGTTTTTGTTTCTCTTGCTTCTAGTTTTTCTTGTAAACTCAATTTGTCGAGAAAAAAAAATTTTCGATAAAAAAAACATGACGCATATCTATATATATGTTTGTCTCTCTCTCTCTATGCATTTGTGATATACTTCTTTGCTCTCTTTCTCGCTCTATATATTGTCATCGACTACAGGCAGTTGTTTTCGTTACAGGCTTTTTTTCTTGTTTGTGTTTTTTTGTTGAATTGTTGTTGCTGAATGTCATGATTTTTATAATGAGAGCAAATGTGATCATTGAAGTTCATTGTAACTATGAAATATCATTAGGCTAAAGATTAAAAATTTCTTTTTTAAACTTTTTTATTTGTGCTATCGACAGTGTGTCATATTACATTAAACATATTTTTTTTTTATTGTAAACAAACAAGATATATAATGAAATAATAAATAAAACAGAATTGAATTATTCAACGACACATAAATAAGACTATAATGATGAAAAAAAGTTTAACGACAATGTATTGTTTTTTTCTATTATTTTAAACATCTAGCTTAAATTCAAATGGTGATTTTAATAGTCAATGGAGTTTTCTATTGAATGCATTCTATATTAGATCAACTATAATGGCAAGCTTTCTATATAATCAGACATGATAGTTTTCAGGTCTTAGAGACTATTTTTAAGAGAATAAAATGAGTGATCGCTGCATTTTCTACGATTTTCCCATAAAAAGTTAAAAATATTATAAAAGCTGAAAAAAGGCGTTTTTTTCATAAATTTTAGTTTTTGTGATGCCTTTAACTTTTTAAGGAAACAACCCTTCATTTTGTTCTCTTTGAAAAACATAGTTTCTGGGACCCAAAAAGTACCGTGTCCAGTGTTTTTAGAAGCTTCGCCATCATAGTTCATTTAATATATTTGAATTTGAGCTAGATGTTTACATTTATACATAAAAAAAATACTTTGTTGTTAAACTTTTTTTTGACCATTTTAAGATGTTTATCAATGACAAAGTTTTTTCTAGATGAATTCTATTGAAAAAAATATTAATCATGATCATATCTATTCATTAAATTTTGAAAGAGAAAAAGATTGTAATCAAATGAAAAATTCATCAAATAAAAATGATAATTCATCATATAATCGTCGTCGAATAATTCGTAAAAAATGTGATATTCAAACTGATGAAGATCGTGAAGACTATAATCGACGACGAATGTTAAATAATACATCATGTCGAATTTCTCGTATGTCTCGTCGTTCAAAATTAGATTCTATGATAGAAAAATGTACTGAATACGAAGATTTAAATAGAAAATTAATATTTCAAAAATTAATTATTATACAAGTCATTAATCAATTGAAAGAACATTTACGAACATTAGTTCCAAATAATATGAAATAAAATTAATTATGATAGTAAATGTTTCATTTGTTTCTTTTTTATTTTTTCATTTATCTTATGAACAAAGAGAATATATAATCATACATCTAAACAATCGGTCAACTTGTCTCACGAGAGAATAACTTGTTGATATAATATGACGATAGCTTCTTCTTTTAAACGATGTACATGTTGTTTTGTTTTATTCGTTATTTTCTCATATAAAATAAAAAAAAAATGATAGATTGTATTCAGCTGGATATTATTTCTTTCTTTAGCTAACATAGCTATGTTTAAAGTACACTATTGATGATCATGATAAATGGAGGTGATCGAGTCAAGCGAACGAGACGATTGTATATATGCAAATTTTGAATTTCCTCCTCTCTCTCTCTCTCTTTCTCTCTTTCTCTCTTTCTCTTGCCTTTGAAATGGACACTTTCATTCATAGTCTAGATCGTATATTTGGTCTGTACTTTATTTTCTCTTGTGTGTTTATGATGGCTTTTTTCTCATACATATATATACAAAATGACTGTATATGTGTGCGAATGCGAACGCATTACTCATGCGATGTTCTACACTGATACGAACAGTGAGAGAAGAAAAATCAGAGAAAAAAATCAGAGAGCAAAGAAAAGAATAAGGCCAGTATGCTCTTCGTTGAGATGTTGTATATATATATATATATATTGTTTGATGAGAAATAGAGCTTTCTTCATGAAACATCTGATCTACTAACTCATTTATTCATTCATATCATACTACCCGACATGGATATGCTCATTCTTGATCAACCACATATGGATTATTCTCAAACACAACAAACATCATCATTTAATTCATCTGTAATTTATCTACAAGATTTTCGTTCTGAACCTTGTCAAGTATGTGGTGAAAATGCTAGTGGATGGCATTGTGGATCGATTACATGGTAGGTGTATGTTCATCATCGTAATAAATAGATGTATCTTTTGTCTTTTTTTTCTTTTAGTGAAGCATGTAAGAAATTTTTTCTTCGATCAGTTAATGAAGAATATCGTAAATATAGATGTATGAAAGATAAAAAATGTATTATTACACGTACTACACGAACTCAATGTCAATATTGTCGTTATATGAAATGTATTGAAGTTGGAATGAAATTATCGGGTAAATATTTCTTTTTATTATTTTCTATTACATAATATTATTTTTTAAATTCTATAATAGAAGGAAGTCCAAATCCAAAAATTGAAGATATTTTTAAGTTAATTCCATGTGCTGTATGTCAACATCCATCATCTGGAATTCATTTTGGTGCAACAACATGCGAGGTAATGATATAAAATTTTTTCTTAAAAAAAACAAAACAAAAAGAATTATTTTAAAATTTTTCATTAGGGTTGTAAAGGTTTTTTTCGTCGTACAATGAAAGAACGTACACCACAACGTTATAAATGTCCAGAAAAAAATAATTGTGAAGTTAATACATCAACACGAAGTGCATGTCGAGCATGTCGTTTTCAAAAATGTCTTACAGCAGGAATGTCAATTGAAGGTTCACGTATTGGACGACAATCAAATTTATTTAAACATAAAATGGTTGAAATGCAACGTCGAGGGTTAATTCGATCACAATTACGTAATATGATTGCTTCAAATACAAATAATTATCAATTAAATTCATCAAATCGAACAAATAATCAACAATCAAGAAAAAAGAATACTATCAATTCTACAAATAATAATCAAGGTAACTAATATTTCTTTAAAATCTAACGATTTTTCAATATTTGGTAGAGAACACGAATGAGAAATTACTATTGTTTGAAAAATATAATGACTACAGTCATTTTTGTGTTAAATTATGCAATGAAACGAACTAGGTGTTAATGTGTCTAAAATACAATGACCTCAACTTAGATACAGGCAAGATTGTCCCGGTTTCGTCGAGACCAAATTTTTTTGTGACCGGAGCTGAGAACAAAACCGATTGATTCCGCTCATGTCGATCTCAAATATAAAACCATCTACAATTTCAGCGGAAACCTACATTGATTGATTTCTCGTTGCTATTAATTTCTTTATGAATTAATGGAATGATGCTAATCTATTAACTAAATTTGAGAAGACAAAAAGTTTTTGATTGTCTATCAATGATTGAGATAATAAATTGAATGGGGGGAAAAAAAATATCTGAAATAGTGAATAAGTACAATTTCTATTCGTCTAGATCAATGTTATTATTTTAATCTTAATACAGTTGAAAACTTTAATTTGATAGTGTTTTTTCGCTTATGAATTCCCATTTGCACTACTGCCGATGAACAACTATCGGTAAATGGTGGTCAAAAGCTAGCCGATCGTTTAAGTATTAAACCATTGCCAGTATACCGAATGATCTATTGATGGCTTTTGTCCGTTTTGAATCACATAGGTTATCAAAACATATAACCACAATTGTTATATTTGTATACTGAACACTAATTGAATGTCTATATTTCTTTTTAGTACTATCATCATATATTGAACCAACAGCTGTTCTACACTTAGAAGATAAATTAGAATCTTATGTATTTCAACAAATAATACAGATTGAAAATGCTTATATCAATTATTTAAAAGTATATTAAAATCTATGATATTCTTTTATTGATTTTTGATATTTAAGGAACTTCCATTTTGTTTGAATGAAACAAATGATTTATGGGTTTCATGTTTATCTCAATTAAATGAATATACGATAAGAGTTGGAGATTTTGCTTTGAGAATACCAGATTTTTGTTCTCTTAATTCTGAAGATAAAAATTTACTTATTCATTCATCAACACATTCAGTTATACTTCTATGTCTTTGTTTTCAATCAGTTCGATTTCGAACATTAACAAATGATACTAATTGGAATTATTTAAATATTTCAATAAATTCTTCATTTGGTCAAAATTTACAACAAAATTTTCCATTCTTTTTTGATTTAAATCAATTAACATATTCAATTGAACGTGAACTTCAAATATTAGAACTTGATGATAAAGAAATTGCTTTAATGATGGTTTTACTTATTACTTCTATTGGTATGTAACAAAAAAAAATAATAAAATAAAACAAAGATTTATGCATTTATTGTTTTGTTTTTTATATTTTAGCAAATAGTAAATTAAAAGAAATTGAAAAAATTGAAAAAATTCAAGAAGATTATTTTTGTGCTTTATATGAATATATGGCTGGTAAAGTTTTATTATTTTAATATATAATTAAATTATCTTTTTCTTTTTTTTAGCAAAGCGTGGTATTGATAATAAAGATTATTTTATTTTAACAATTCAAATTCCATTTATACATCGTATAAATAGTATAATATCAACAAATATAGTAAATTTGAAATGTTCATTATCTTATAATGCGTCTTCTATGTAAAAAAAAAAACCTTTTTTTTTTATCTTATTGTATAATAGAATTATCTTTAACGTAAAATGTATCATGCTGTTTGATTAAATCATTCATTTAAAATAGTATTTCATATATTCAATAATTGAATTTTTGAATATTTTCATTTTTGGAAAAGTTTGTTTTGTTTTTCTTTTCAATACATTTATCTTTAATATTTTTTTTTTCAATTTATTCTATGTAAATTTTTATGCTCAATATAAATAAATGCACTTATATGTCACATTTTTTTTTTGCATGAATCAAAAATATCAAGAAAATTATTTAGAATAGAATAAAAAATATATATATTCATTCTTTTAACTTTCATTATCATCTTCTCTTTAATTTAGTATTTTTTTTGCATATGTAAAGCTTTTATATATCTAAATACAAAGTGACACTTTGATTTATAATTAAAATGAAGTCGACTTGACTCGTTCTTTTCGGTACATCAAAATTATATTTTTCTAAACTTTGATTCTACATGAAAGAATATTTTATATTATATTATAGACTGAATAATAATAAAAGAAAAGTAATTATTGAAAATTAAATAAAAATAAATGAATTTAATACCATAGGATATAATTATTGTCTTCTAGAATTCTAATATATTCGTTAATTGTATATGAATAATTTAAAAAGAGAATGGATTCTATCCGCCTACGTGCCATATTTTTTTCTCTCAATTTTCAATTAAAATTTTTTTTTTTGTTTTTTGAGTAGTAATAATAAACAGTAGAGCTGATTTGTCATTGTAACATGAGAAATGTTGTGTTTTTTATCATTTTGACGACATATTTCATTATTATTGAATTTATCTATGTTTTTCTTAGGTACTTTTTTCAAAAAACCAATTTTTGAACAGAAAGATTGAAGTTTTTTCCTGGACACTTCAACCCATTGAGCTGAAATTTTTTGTGCGACAACTAGAACTAAATCGATATATTTTTCTTTTCTTAAAATTATGTTTTGGTGATTTTTGGAAGATCATACAAAATTTATTCTAGGCAAAAAACACGTTTTTTGACGGAGCTTCTAGTATTTTAGTTCTCCTAAGCGAAGGAAACAATATATGTACACCCTATTTGGTTCTAGTTGTTATAAAAAAATTCAGTCATAAAAAATGAATTATGTCTATGACAACTTTTGGTCTACCAGTTAAGTCAAGACTTGCCGCTATAACTTAACAAAGCCCAAGATTTCAAAATATTGTTTTTCATTTCCAACGAAATTTTCTCTCGTAAAAATTCGAAAAATCTGTATATCTCTGTTGAAAAATATTTATTTTTTTTCTCAAAAAGTAAGTCGAAAATGGGAAGTTTGACTCTGTTAAGTTGCACGGTGTAGTTTTCTCTTCGGTTTAAAATCTTCCCGAACTTTCTAGTATGTGAAACAGCTGAGAAATCTTTGACATAAGAACAAGAAAAAATATAAAAATCTACTTTGAGAAAAACACCAAATAAAGTTTGGCCTAGAAATCCAAGCTTCTTTTTTAATATACCGGTATAGAAAACAAATCATGAAAAAGCATAATAAATTGGGTAATTTGTATTAGACAATGAGGGGTATCCAACCACGGCAAAGTCTCAAAATCGAATTTTTTGAAG